GGCCTTTTCCCATCCATCGGCATCATCCAAAAAATTGCTATTGGTACATCACTAATAGATATACAAAACACTTAATAAGAACTTATTAAGATTGTTTTTAAATAGAATTAAATATGTATTTTTAATGTTAATTCACCTCCCCAAGGCTGAGAAGGCCACTATAGTTGAGGAGGCTACTATAATTATTATTAACTTAACTATATAACTCCAAAATACGATCCTTGACAAGGCCGCTGTGAGGAGAAACAAGTTAAGCTCAATACTACTAAGGATGTGGTAGGGATTGAGTTCAGAACATATTGTTTATGAGGCAAGTACTCTACTACTATACAAATACCGCATTTACAACTGAGTGAGAATAATTCCATAGCTATGCATAAATATTTAGAGATTTAACAACAAAATTTTTAACTTTGCCTTTTACTTTTTTTTAGTTAACTTGAACAGCATATATTAAATTCTGATTTTTTCAATTTTGAAAAAACTGGAAATGATTTTTTCAAAATTTAATCTTAACTAATGTAATAATCTAAAAAATAAGCTCAATGCAACATGGTGTTTGTGTTGTTTAATTTGAATATTTCATTAGAAATTATTAGCTTATAGATCCTTCTGGCTTCAAATTATGCATATCAAAATTGCAAATCGCGATTGCTTTTTATACCTAAGCATTTAGTTTTTTCTGAAGATTATTTTTTGTCTTTTTATTCCTTTTCTTTTTTAAATTTTTTTCATTTACTGAAATATTGTTTTTAGATGAATGTATTAAAGTAAAATATTAATTTAAAAGGTTTAGATGAAGGTGGCAGTTTTATTTAAGCTTGTTCTACTTTTTTTTTCACTTTGTGTGCTATGTTTTTGGCATTATTTTGTATCATATAAGTACTTTTTTAATAGAGTGTAAAACTACTGTTTAGTTTAAGTGGAGAAGCATTCTGCTGCAATGCATTACTGTTTAGTTGGAATATAGAAGCATTTGGCTGCAATGCATTAAATGAGTGAGCTAAAACAAAATGAGTTATTCTAGTTTTTTTATAAATATTTTTATTTAAAAATAACCTTTATAAGTTCTTATTAAATCTACAAAAATGATAAATAAAAGATTTTTTAAATTTTAAAATAAAATTTTTCTCAAGAAACGCTGAAAAACAATCTAGATTTGTTTCTTAAAAGTCTTGTTTATAAAGCTTGATAAATCTATGAAGGCTTGATTAAATGACCAAATTTGCACATAATTGATGCATCTTTGTGTTTTACTAACAATATCATTAAGTTCCTGTTAAAGTTAACTAATCTCGACACCTTTTTTGGGTGCATACTCCCAAACACAGTTCAAACCAATATTACAATTGCTTTCATGCACATTAACGTTTGGGTTGTGATAAGTTTTTATTTAAGTATATTCATCAACTTTTTTTTTTTAAAAGCTTTGTTTAGATAAAAAATTTAATTATATAATATAATTATCCTAATATTATTATAAATATATGATAAAATCCACTGTATTTAATATTTTTATATTAATATTTTCTATTTTTTTAAATCAAAAAATTTCTTCTAATAAGTCTAATAATAACATTATTCAAACTTAACAATAACTTAAAATTTTAAAAAATTTAATTTTAAAAAAAATTCAGACTCATTTACCTACTGCTACCATTACTCGTGGAGAAATAAGCTGCGTGAAGCCTTCAACAGCATTTCCAGATCGTAAAAATGTTTTTGAAATTGTTCAAGTAAAAGGAATTGTATGGTATTGTCAATCATCTACTCCGGTAAAAATATTTTTGTAGCATATATACGCATTAATTTTCTAAAGATAATAGTTTGATTTTTTTTCAGAATATTTGTTATTTAACATTTATTTATTCTGAAAAAAATCTAACTTTTATTTATAGCAATATTACCATAAATAAGTTAAAATAAATTATTTGTAGTAAATTAATTTGATGCAATTTTGTGTTAATTGTTTTTTGTGTGTATGTTTTTGTGTGATATGAAATATTTTTTGTAAAAAAAAAAGTGTAGTAATTTTTTAACTTAAGGAAGAAATGAGATCTTGGATAGAAGCACTTACTTCTCAATCATCCACATTATCATCACAGCGCCCCCCTTCATTATCACCTCCTTCATCTAAGGTATTTATTTATTTATTTTTGTGGTAAATTGGGGTAAACAAACATAAGGTATTTTTGTAAATCAGATTATTATAATTTTAAATTGTTTAGGCTTGAGATGTTTAAAAAATGTTTTTTTAAATCAACCTCACTCCCAACAAGGCTTCAATCAACTTAGTTCAATCAATTAGGTTAGGATTGAGAGTTATGTTCAACCAATTAAGTTGAGAGTGAAAAAGCAAAGAAGAGAGTTAAAGAGCAAGATAGATATAAAAATTGTAGATTTTATGAAAGCAGAACCTATTATAAAAATTGGTGTTGATGGTTTTCATAATATGTCAGTTGTTGACTCAGTAAGAGTAAAGGACTGGGTAAGAGTGTTGCCATTATTAACATAGAAATATCAACCACATTGCAATAATTATTAGCAGTAAACAACTGAATTTTGTTTGAATTAAAATTCACAAGTCACTTCATGCCTCAAGTTGTCATAGAAACAAGGTTAAAATTCACCAGCTACTGCTGGGTGTTCTAAGCAATGAAAAACTAATGACTTTTTTTCGAGGCTATTTAATTATGTCATCAACCTCTGTCCTCTTTAGAGGTAGGATTATTAAGAAGATCATTAATACAAATGAGGAACTAACATCGAACTAAGAATGAAACCCTGGGTACCCCAGGAGTTACTCCAGATAATCAAAATCTGTATTGTCTCAAGGTTAATTGTTAAACTTTTAGATCTAAGAGTTTTGCTCTGCCATCAACTATCATCTATGATAGGTGATGGCAGAGCAATCTTCAGAGTTTTTAAATATTCGAACCAAAAATTTCATTTTTTTTAGTAGGAAAAATATTCAGCTAAATATTTGTTGAATAGTTTATAGATTATTGAAGCTCCAGAGAGTACTTTTGCATTTGGATTTTTACTTTTGCATTTGCTCAGATTTCAACAAGGAGTTTAAATTCGAAATAACCTAAGTATCAGATACATGAGTGATTTGGATATCTAACAGTGGATTAGCCTGTTTTTTTGGGGTGAAAAGTGATCATTAGATTCAAGAGACAAATTAGGAAAAGTTCTTTTCAATTAGATCTGCCTTATCCTTAGGACAGGTAATAAGATAAGACCTATGTATGAGAATTGTAGGACTTTGTTAATGACATTGTTACATATACTTTTAAAGTCTAGTTCAACTTCTTTTTTTTTTAACTGAAATATTCCAGTTTATTTATTTTATTGTTTATTCTAGTTAGCAACATCATGTTATTACAAAAAATTTTTGATTTAGTATTCCTCGGTTCCAGATTTTTCGATGTTGAACAACAACAATACCAATCAGTACCATGATAATCAACTTAATGTACCTCTTGGAGGTTATTGTAATTCTCAGCCTGCGCATGTTTATTTTTCTCATGGTAAGCAATAATATTTTTATCATTATGATTATAATCTATTGGTAAGTTGTATTCAATGGTAATCTTTGCATAGAATTAGCTATTGAAAAAATGAGTTGTATTTAAGCATTGCCAAAGCAGTTAGCTAAAATTTGACAAGTTTTTACTTTGGCTGTGCTGCCTTCTGATTTGCTGCCTATAGCTGAAGGGAATAATAATATGATTAATACACCAGAGAGTTAAATTGATTTTCTTCTCTAGTTTGAACTTTTAAACGTTTTTTTGTTCGCAAAGTGAAGTGAGGCCAAACTTGGCACATTGTTTTTTAATCAAAAAGTTTAAGAATTTTTCTTATCATACTTGTGTTACAAATGCTTTAATTAAAGAAATATTTTTCTCTAATGAAACATATAGTAAGTTTGTAAACCAAATATAGCTTTTTTGAGAAAAGCTGTTTTTTAGGACACAGTTGTTGTTTTTTTACTTTGACTGCATATATACATATCCTGTTTTGCATTCAAGCAATCCTACCGGTCTTATCTAACCCAAACAATTTATTTCTAAAAATTTCTTAAATAAATATTAATCATTTATTTTTTATTTCTTCATGATTTTACTAACGTTATTTTTTGTTTGCATAACACTGTTAAGTTTGTATTTCATTTTCATTCAATAAGAGTATTTTTTTGTTGAAAAAATATATATTTTGTTAAGTTTGTATTTCATTTTCATTCATTAGGAGTATATTTTTTTGTTGAAAAAATATACTCCAAATAAAAGTTTCGCATTTTCTTAACCAAGTTTTTTTATAATCGTGTGACAGGTAATATGAAAATCCTAGTTTAAATGTGGGTAAGGGTAGAAAAAACTTTTAAATTATTGAAAGCAATCTTCCTAAGTAATTCTATTGTGGTTTATAATAGAATTACTTAGTCCCGACTTGCTAAGCAGGTTCCTGGCTTGCTAATCAGGTTAAAGCTAGGAAGAGCATCTAGTTGTAAAAAATTGCTTTAACGATTCAATAATGTCGTATTTAAATATGAAAACGGCAATATGGAAACCCTGTCCAAACTACATAAGTGTGGAACCATAGACGTCAAACTTTAAATCGTTTTATTTTTAGTTACCCACTTGCATCAGTTCAAGTACAACTGTTTTCCAAAATTATATTTATGATCATAGGGGCAAAAGCTTTGTTATTCACGCAAATATTTTTGCATGTTATTTTTATGTATGGTATTTTATAATCAAGTTACTTTTTATTTTAAAATTTGTTCATATTGTCAGCATATTAATATTACAGTTGGAAACTCGTATTAAATTGACGTAATTTTTATATATGCGGTAAAGACGACAAATCTTTATTAAATTACTCTTAAGTTAATTTTCTAAAACTTTTTCATTAAAAAAATTTATGTTTCATTTGACTATTTTAGAACATGAACATGCAAGTGCACCACCTCCGTATTCTTTTATTAATGCAGACCTTGTATCCTCTGATGTTAACACGTGTCCGCCTCCGTATCAGCCACCTATGTAGCCCCTTTATTAGTTATCAATTATCATGTACATATTGTGAATTTTCAAAAATAATTTTTGTAGATAATTTTTGTTAGTTTTAATTTTTCCAAAGATTGTATGAAGGGAATGAGTAATTTTATACTTTTTGTTTTATTTGTCTTAAAAATGTCATCTAATTTTATTTCATCTTTTTTCTTTACCAAGGTTTCTTCCTATTATTATATGTATATATAAAATATTCTATACAAAGAAATATATATATATATATCTTTAGATTATGTTAAAAGTTTACAAAATTGAGATATTAATTTTTTTGTTGTTTGTTTCTTTATTGTTATATTTCTTCATGTATTTCAAATTCAATGAAATACTGCATGCTCCAAGCTTTATGAGAAATGTTGCTGTAAAACTTGCCCCGCACGCTGATGAAAGACATTTTGAATCAATAAAAAAAATTATACGCTTAGAAAATACAGGCCTCGAAATAAAACCACCTGCTAACACCACCTTGACGCCATCAACTATACGTATTTCGAATCTATATAGCGTAAGTTTAAAAACTTATGTGCAAGCCATAATTGACAGGTCTTTATCTATTCAATCAAAACATGGTTTTATTTTTTTGCAAATGATGAACAGCGCTTTTCTTTTGCACACTAAATCGTGGTTGTGCAATGTAAAAAATCAAAATGAAGTTCTTCAACGATTAATTCTTATAGCCACAGATGACCACGCATTTAAGCAGCTAAAAGCTTTTAATGTGAAAGTTCTTCATTTATTTCTATTGCCATACGAATCTCTTGATCTCGAGTATGGTCTTCGTTCATACTACGAGTATGTTTTGTTTAGAATATCATTAACAAATAAAATCTTGAACGCAGGTGTTAGTGTTTGGATATGCGAAGCCGATGCAGTTTGGTTTGAAAGTCCAATTAAATATCTCACTGAGTTCACTGAAAAAGACATAGTGGTACAGCAAGATGGACTCATTAATCAGAATATGCCTTGCGGTGGGTTTATTTTTCTAAATAAAACAAAACCTACTAAACGTATGTGGCGAGAACTTGAAAAAAGGGTGACTACAGTATTAAACAGTTTAACCGACGTTGAAGTTGGTGACGAAGGAAACGAGCAACTAATGTTACCTATTCTCCTTTCAGAGTTTCGTGTAAAGTGGGCATTTTTCTCAAGGACAAAATTTGTTAGTGGTCATTGGTATACAAACGAGTTATTTCGAAAACAAGTTCATCCCGTAGTTATTCAAAACAATTGGATAAAAGGTAACGAAGCAAAAATTTTAAGAGCTAAATATTGGGACCATTGGTATTTAAATAAAAATGAAACGTGCTTGTAACACATTAAAGGTAGTAATTGTTTAAATATTCATTTTATGATCTCATTTTAATTTTAAAAACAAATTCAAACGTTTGCTTTTATCATTTAGATTATTTTTTTAAAACTAATATCGTTTTCTTATGTTAAGCTGTTTGGATTGAACCCAGCTGTAACCTTCTCCCCTGTATCCCACAAAATAAATACTTAAAGTACCTGATTTTTGTTGAATATAAAAGAAAATAGAGTTGTTCGTTTTTTTTATAATTAACGATTTTTAAATTTAAACTAAAAAATTTTGTATTTATAAAAGTGTTTCACAAACCTATTTAACAGTGGAAACCAGATTTTTATATATCTGTAAACCCAAAATAATTGATTCAACATTCATTATGTTTTTATACTTTATTCAATATATTTATGCTTAATTTAAAACTGCGAATTTGTACAATTTGTTGGCTTGTTGTTTGTTGTGTAGTCTATAAATTATATTTGTAAAGTTGTATAAAACTTTTTCTCTTTCTTACTGTTTTTCTTAATGTTTAATCCAAATCAAAAATATATATTAATAACTGTTTATAACTGTTTATAACTAATTTATAACTAATTTATAACTGTAATATATATATATATATATATATATATATATATATATATATATATATATATATATATATATATATATATATATATATATATATATATATATATATACTTTAAATATGAAATATGAAACCTGGCATCAGACTGTAAAAAGACAAGTAAAGAAAATTTTATATGAATGTTTAGAAGTATTGGTTATTTGAATTTTCCAACAATAGACAGAAGATCAGTACCGTGGATAATAGAAAAATTGATTAAAAAAAGACATAGAAATCAAAAAACCAGATATTTATGATTTTGAAGCTTTTGTATTTGAGATACCTTTATATGTTGGTTGACACCATATATTAGATCAAATATTAAAATTATGTCTGTTTTTTTTTTTTGTTGTTGTTTTTTTCTATGAAATTTATAATAGTGTACCGGATCTGTCATATTATTTGTTGTAAATATGGTTAATTAAAATCGAACTTTGACAATAGTGGTATACAACTGAAAAGGATTAACTAAAATACTTTTGAAATGAAAAGAAATTACTTGAAGTTAATTTTAAAAGTTGATCAAATATAAGCTAAGGTAGGTTATACTCCCGGGCAATTTAAACTATTTGTTTGCGTACTAAGTCCTTCAGACAGAAAACGACTTGAAATAGCAGTAAAGTTTGTTTGGAAATGAGCAGATCTGGTTTTCCAATTAAATATTTAACCTTGAAAATGTTAAAGAATTGGAGGAAGTCATTAAAGATAATCCAAAGACTATCAATTCATTCACGGTGTTTGGATGTGATATTCCTTCTTTTATAAATACACAAAGACTCATCTTGGTGCCAAAAGAGCAGTAAAAGTTTTAGGAGATATCAAATATCTGGAAAATCTTGTATTTAAATTATTTATTAACAAATCATATTTGGCGCCTAATCGAGGGTGCAGGGAGTGCCTCGCATACAGGCAGCTAATTTCAAAAGCGGCAAAAAGCCGCCTCGTCAGTCGTTATTTAATAAAATCATTTTGACTAAAGCAGCAAGAATTGCAAAAGAAATATTTCGAAACATTTCCAAAAGTTAGTACTATTAGACGGCGCATAAAAAAGCCACCATTTCATTATGAAAACACTGATGATTCAGAACGTCTCTACAAAATCATTTATTATTTTTTACTTTTGAATACAGCTTTATCTAAAATAGAAAAATGTTTTGAGCTTTTAAGAGCACACGAATGAAATTTTTAAATGATGTTTATTCTTTAATGTTAGTTAAACGAGAGACCAAAATGAAATATTGTACAAATTTACTAAATTTGTACAATATATAAACAAACAGAGAGTTTAATTAGTAATTAAACTCTCTAATCCTATAAAAAAAAATTGATATCACTGCATTAGGATTGTGTGATGAAACTGAAAATCTTGCACCATATATTACAGAAATAAAGTATATGAATGTATTAACTGTTTTGGGTTATTTGTTTTCACATTACTTGCATAATTATTTTCCAAATATTACCGTAGTATTAAGAATATTTTGACCATGTAACTGTAGTCTCTGGAGAAAGTCTGTTCCCGAAATTAAAATTAATTTAAAATTATTTACCATCAACCATGTCCAAAGAAAAACTTTCTAATTTAAAAATAAAGTTAACAACTATACACAGTAAAGTATTACTGAACAGTAGACCTTAAAAGATTAATGTGTGTTTTGTAAGTTAACTTTTTAAATTTTAAGTTTATTTTCTAATTTAAACGTTCTCGATGAAACAACTTCTTGGAGTCTTCTAAAACTTTCCTTGCAATTAAACTATTTTAATTTAATTATATATATTTTCAATTACAACCACAAGCAAATCCCTAGTAGTTCAGTCCTGCAACGGACTTGCGTAGATTTTTTAAACGCGTAAGGTTATGTAGGCGTTAAAAAGTCAGCACTTTATATTATAAGCCACGTATTTTTATATTATTTATTTTAACCTAATGTCAAACTGGAGACAACTATTACTTTTTTGAAATATATAATAATGATTGTCAAAAAAAAAAAAAGACGAATTAAATAATTTTAACATTCTCGATCATTTTGCTCTGAAAAGATTAACATTAGTAAGGAGATTTTAGTTAGTATAAATGTGCAGAGTATTGCAGTATTTTAATTATATTCCGTATCATAGAATGTAATTATATAACTTTATAAAAATTATGTATATGCGTTAGCATATCTGATAATATGAATACGCTAATTTAATATTATTATTATTAGTCGAGTTACGTCATTTTCTAGGCTTTTCTATTTTAAAGTAGTTTCTAGGCTTTTCTATACGCGGTTTTTTTTTTTAATTTTATTTACTAACAACGCGTATTGCTTACTGCTAGTTTTATATAAATGTTTTATAATTTAAAATGCAAATTCTTATTTTATTTTTTGCTATCAAATAATAATTTTCAAATTGATTTTAAAATATGAGATTATTTATATACATTTAAAGTTGTATTGTGCTTTATTGTTGTACAGCCTTGCCAGAGGCGTCCCTAGGAGGGGGTGTAGGGGTGTCTAGCCCCCCTACAAAATTTATTAGTAAGCAAAAATTGGATCTGTGGTTTTTTTTTTTGTTTTTGATTTTTAAGATCTTAGCAAAAAAATTTCTACGCCTTACCCGGCAAAAAACACCCCTCTTTAAGGTCTCTTCGGGATGGCCCTGAATCTTGCACCAGTGTTGCACCCTGACGCCAAACTTTTTTGGTGCGCCACTATATTACACATAATCACACATTAAAATTGTTCATTTTCTTTTGTTGCGTTATCTAATTTAAATTTTGCTGTTAGAGGTTTTTATATTTCATTTAAGCCCATTTGTTTCTGTTTATTTTATTTTTTATTTTTTTATATGCTCCTTGAAATTCAACGTCATGTTGAATCTATTATTAACCCATGCTAATTACAATTTCGTATTATTTTTAGAGATCAGAGTTTTATAATATCTATATGTTTATCAAGCTTGCTCTTAAAGATTTTTACACTTCTTGCGAAAATGATTTGGTAGTTTATTTTACCATTTTGTAACTCTGTAAGTCAGAAAATTTTTTCCTTGGCTTGTTTCTTTTTATAAGCTCAATATCTACACGTGCTTTATGTCCTCCAATGTGTGCAGCTGGACCATTTGCTAAAATAGAAAATGCTGCTTTCGGTTGTTGATACAAAAACACTTTGTCCAATTTATGAAAAATTTTATAATATTGAATTAAATCATATCTTATTCCCCTGTTTTTAAGGAAGCTAGTTGGAGCTTTTTTTACCCTTTCTTCATAGGGTAGGTACCTTAACTCTGGAATTTAGTTGCTCATTGTTAAACAATTTCTAATTGATGTATATCATTTTTTTTATATATATTGGTGATGCATATTCAAGAATAGTTAAAGTAATAATTCTTATCATTTTCCATTGCTGTATTTAACCACAAACACTTTTTTGCTTGAAATAATTTTAGCTGTAATGTTTATTATTTTTATTTTTTTTTCGTTTATTCTTTAATCTTCTTATTAATACTTTATACATACATACTCTTTAATCTTTTACGTTTTTTTTTTTTGTTTTTTTTCTTTGCTTAAACTTTTCTTCAATTCTGTTAAAAATAGTAAAAAAAGAAAAAAAGGGTATTTATCTAAACAAACACCTACGCTATTTTTAGTATCATTGCAAAGTTTGTAAATAAAGTTTAAATGTAAATAGTTGTAAATAATGTTTTTTACTGAAAACCTCTATCTAGGATAGAGGTTTTAATAGTTGTAATAAATAGTTGTAAATAATGTTTTTTACTGAAAACCTCTATCTAGGATAGGGTTTGCAGTAAAAAACATTAGCAGTAACATTTCAATAATAACCACCTATCGGCTGCAGGGCCGTCCTGAAGAGGTCTCTAATGGGGTGGGGGTTGTTGTATGTGTTTTTATTGCCAACTTGGGTCTTGAGATCTAAAAAAAAAAAAGTCCTCGAAAAAAAAGTCCTCAAAATTTGACATATGTTAACTATACTTCAAAACTTGCCAACTGAAATGCTAAATGTATAAATGTGCCAACTGCCAACTCAAATACATCTATGACAGTTTTGCGGGGGAAGGGGGGTGAATCACCCCCTATTCTCCTTGTTCGGAACGGCCCTGATCGACTGTTCAGTTTTGTTAAAAATTTTATAAAAACCAAACTTTTCTAAAATCCAAACTTTCACGCGATTAAAGGCCGTTTTCCACAAGACTAAAAATTCGCGCGAAGCGAATTTTTTGCTACGACGAAACGCTGTTTTGATTTCCACTTACTTTCTTTCGCGCTACTTTTTTTTCGTTGTCAACAATAAAAATGGCAGCAATAAGTTTACGTTGTATGTTTAACTGAAGGCAGTTAATACTTTTTTAGCATACTTTATACTTTGAAGCATGTGAAAATTTCTTTCCGTGCATTAATATTTACATTTCTGTCTTTATATGTAAGATGTGATATTATTTTGTAATATAATCGTTTAATTTAAGGTTTTTTTTTACAAGAAAGTATAAGAAAATAAATGCTAAACTCTGATATGAACATTTCTATTAAAAACTATTATTGCAAGAACGAACAGCAGGTTTAACTCTATAAAGAATTTTTCACAAAAAGGTTTATCATCGTGTGGCCATTTGAAGATAAACATTCTTATGAAGTGTAACTTTCGTAATTGACAGTGTGAAAATTTATATTTGTAAATTTTCGATTTAGTTTTATATATAAGTCTGGTCATTTTTTTATGTAAGTCTTGCCCCTTGTTTGATATATTTACTCATGCTAGCCAATTTTCAGAGTAAGTTCATATAAAATTAATAAGAACGCCAGGTTAGGAATTTTGTTTTTTGTTACTAAAAAACAACATGTTTTCGCTTTTTTTTAATGTTGACATCACGTGATATAATATTCAAAATTTTATTGGTTTTCGCTTATGGAGATTCGCAAAAAGTCGAAATGAATCCGACTTTTTTTTTCGCTGAGCGAAAAACAAAAATAAGTATTATCGCCAAAAAAAGTCTAATCTGCGCATGCTTAACGACGAAAAAATTCGCTTCGCGGGAATTTTTCGTCTTGTGGAAAACGGCCTTAACGTTAAAATTAGAAGACACTAAAGTGTACTTTTTTTCTTAAGAAAAGCCGCTAAAAAAGAAAAAACTTGCAGTTATGACTACGACTCAACATTCGGATCAAGCTTCGCTATCGCTTAATGCTTTTGATGTGTTTAAATGCATTCGTCAAAGTGGTTTTTTAAAGAAACAAGACTATAATCCACAAAAACTGAAAGCAAAATCTACAAACACTTACACATTGTTTCCTAGTGAAAACCAATGGAAAATAACTTTAAATAGAAGAGCACAACAGAAATCGTGTGGATTTTTTGCGAAGACAAATGCGCCTTATAAAGAGTTTGGCAATGTTGAATTAAACTCAAATAAATTGTTGCTTGAAAGCCTTCAGCATATTGGAAATTGGTTTTTAGATGAAAAGGTATAAGTTTTTTTTGTTTTAATATGTTGTATTACCGAAACCATTTTATATTATATATTAAAGACGTCACAAAAACAATGCTCAGTTTAAAAAAAAAAAAAAAACTTGTTCAGTATTGTGGTTATACCTAATTATTATACGGAGATTATTGTAGATAGTTGTAATGTTAGTGTTTCTTAATATTTCAAATTATTTTGCGTCATCCTTTTTTTGGCGTTATTATTATTATTATTTTTTTTGCGCATTGTCCAAACTAAGTTTAAATTTTATTGAAGTAAATTCATATTGAGTCTAAGCAGATCTAACTTTAGTTTTTTATATAAAAATATTTAATACCGCAATGTATACTGATTTCCTCTTTAGCTAAGATCAACGTGAAATTTTTATTTGGTATTTATTATTCTATATTTGCTAAAAATTATTTGTCATCCATCCTTTTGAGAATAACAAAAGAAAAAAAAATCTTTTTAATGGATATATACTAATAAAACATGTTCAAGGATTAACTTTTAAGTATTTAAGTGACACTAGAAGGGAGAGTAGAATAGAGGCCTTAAAGCCCTTAAGGTTTGATTTAAGAAATATTTACAATGCCTTGTTAAACATTTATGAAAACCCAGATATTATTCATAAGATTGGAGACGAAGCCTTTGGTTTACTGAAGCAATTCAAGTTTTTGTGTTCAGTAGTTATTTGCTATAAAATATTTAACTGTATTAATCAAATAAGCAAGATGATTCAAACAAAAAGTTACAATTTAACATATTCACTTGAAATTTTACAAAATACTAGATTTGAACAACTTAATTACCATAGTAACAATCATTAATCATGTATAATATATACGACTTTAAAGCTATGTCTAAACAAACTGTATTAAAACACTGCAAAAAATAGCAAATTATTTTAACTGAAGGCGGTTCTGTTAATAAAAATGGAATAGTATTAGCTGAGAAAATTTCTGCAGTTTCTGCACTTTTGGAAAATAAAGAAAGCGTAAACAAAGTTATAAGGTTTGAAGCAAAGTTAAACTTTGCTTCTAACCTTAGAGAATATACATGACTACTATACCAGTAATTGTAGCAAGTCGGGAAAGGAGTTTCTCTAAATTGAAAAAAATAATAATTGCTCATAGAAACTAATATTTACATCCAAAACTACACAAAATCGTCTTAATAATTTAGCCGTTTTGGCGATTGAGCATGAAATAGCTGATCAAATTTAGATGAAAGAGATAATAAAGTTTGCAAATATTTTTAACTTTGAGTTCTGCAAACTTTATTTATAAAGTTTGCAGAACTTAAAGTATTTGTAATTAAATTAAAGCCAAGCTTTGCAATAAGGCTTAACCACTTCCAGGATCGATTATCGCATTTTCGTGTCATTAATTAATAAGTTTTTCTGTCAGGGTGTCAAGCCATTTTTAAGAAATAACTCTGTGTAGTAACCAATGATGGAATAATTTTTTTTGTTACAAATGTTGTCAATATCCATATCAGTTTGATAAATAAGTATAGGAGCAGACTCAACGTCATTTCTGCCGTAGCTAACCACCACCAATTTGTATTCGGTCCTTACAATAACAGGAGTAATTTATTAGACAAACAAAAGAATTCGGGAATTTTTTTGTTTAAAAAACTCTTGCAAACGCAAATTAAGTCAGGTTTGTTTGACTAGGCGTATAGGAAAACATTCATTATACTTGTTGGTAAGACTTTTGGTAAAAATTTGTTAAATGAATTTAGTTGTTTTTTTTGGTTTTTAAGGCGGTGTTATTTTACATTGGTAGAATGTATAACTTTCTTTAAAAAGTCTATTCTTTCGGTTAACAATAAATTTCAACTTTTTTAAATCATCGATTGTTTTAATGATTTTAATAATTTATCTTGATCAGATTTATTAGCGCTAGACTTGGTTGATTTAACATGTATATATACATACTTCGGAATATGTATATATATATACAAGTCTCGAAATTAGGAAAAAGGAGATCGAGAATAAATTGCCGACCTCAAACTGTTAGAGGTTGGCATCAGGTCGGCAAAAAAAAATTTGACACAAAGGGGTTACCATAAAACATAGAAACGAGGTCGACAATTTTTTGCCGATCTAAAATTCAAAATTACCCATAAACAGATTAGCAAGTACAGGTGCATATAAAAAACAATTTGTAACGGTTACTAGTGAAAATACGAAAAAACGTCATAGCGGCCGTGGTGCAGTGAATAGAGTTATTTCTTAAAAACAAGAGTTCTGAGGTTTGGTGTCGATAAGCAACCTTGGTAAGGAAGGAGGTATGAACTTCCTAGTTAAATTGCACTTCCACGATGCTTTGTGATAAGAACCAAAGTTTTTCTTGGAACACCTTTACCAAAAACTAAAAAAGGTCTGGTAGATGATTGTGGATTGTTGTGAGGACTTTTCAAGTAGAAACTAATTATGTTAACCTAAACTTATTCTTTTGTAAACATATTACGGCGTTTTTTGTGTGGGTCTTTGCAGAGTGGATCTTCTGTACCCTAAAATAAAACATCTTCAATTGTTTTCTGTATTAAACAGAACTTTCGCTGATTTGATTTAAGGTTGATCTGATCTGATCAGATCTTGTTTAGGGGTGTTCAAGTAATGGAAAAAAAATTACTTAAGTAACTTTAAGAATTTTACTTATTTTCCAAAGAATAAAAAATATAATATTACATTTTTGTGTGATATAGTACTATATAGGTATAACAAGTCATAACTTAACAAAAACTTTCAAGAAATAACGCTGAAAACTTAAAATTTCTATCAATTTATTACTCAAAGATGTTCTCATATTTGTAATAATAAAAAAAAAGTCAAGAGCACTAAAACATCTTTCTGTAACAATTGATGATGCTGATAAAAACTTTAAAGTACAGTGCAACTTTTTAAGCATTTTTGAACGGATTCATTTGATCCTTCAAATTCACCCATTTCTTTTTTGATGCAATCAAAATCATTTAAGGTGGTACACCCCCATTCTAAAAAATTTCTTTAAAATAATCTATACAAAATTAAAACTACATTACACAAGTTTAAAAAAGTATGCTGATTTTTTTTTTTAATGAAATCTCGATTGCCCAACTTTTGCCTCACTTATTCCATAAGAATTGCCAAAATATGGGTGTAATTTAAAACAAGATATCTCCAGTTCTATATATCCTTTCACTCTGAAATTTTCACATTATGTTCCTAAAAGGTACAACAAGGTTATGAACCAAAATCATGCATTAAAGATGCATAGAACATTTTAAAAGTAATTTTCTATAAATTTAAGAAAATTTAAAAAAAAAAAAAAAAAAAAAAAGATTTTAAACATACTTAAACATGATATTTATTTGTAATTTTGGTTCATTACCTAAGTTAATTTATAACAAAAGCACCCTGAAAATTTCAAGTCAGCATATGGTCCCAAACTGAAAATATTGCATTTTAAAATTTAGGTATTTGGTAAAAATGACATTTTGAGAAAAACACAAAAAACAAAATAAAAGTTCGTTATATTAGGAAAAGAAGTACAAGCTCAATTAAAAACCTCCACTATTATATTGTGGGTCCTTTTCCAGTTCTTTTTCAATATCTATGTAAACTTTTATGATGGCTCTAAGCTGTTTTCTTCTTAATTTACCTTTAGCACTTGATTTGTGATTCATTTTTTTAATTCGGATGAGGTCCAATTTACGAAGTCCTTCTTGCATAAACATACTTGGTTCAATACCTCCAGCACTAATTACTTTTTCAACTGCTGTGCTTCCATCATTAAATGCTATAATAGCTGAGTTCATACTTATCTCAAGAACTTTTTTCCCAACAAAAAATTCTTTAGGACATCTTTTCCATATTAAGGCATTCAGACTTTCATTGTTATTTTGAGTTTGTCCGTGCAAACATTTTGATAACAATGTTTCATTTGTCAAATCTGTAAATATAGGCATAAGTACTGCTTTAATTGCTAATGGTAAGCTTAATTTGGTTTTGTACGTTGTTTCACCAGTTACTTTATTACTCTGCCACAAACACCAACTAGTTCTAGTTCGTGGGCAAAATTTGTGTCTCTCTGACCTTCATTTATGTCACTGTTGTGAAATAAAACAGCCCAAGCAGCTTTTTTCATTGCATAAATGTTATTCGCACTTTGACGGATAGCCATACCAAAATAATTTTGAAGCGTATTTATGGCTTTATCTGTCAAACGACCTTTTCCATTTAATCTTTTTCCGTCTGAAAGAAACTGACCTTTAAGTGTAACTCTATAGTTACGCGCACGATTTCCTAGTCTCTTTTGGTAATGTCCAACACAATAAAGTCTGTTTATTTCAAAACCTGGATATGGATTACTTGCAACAACATCATTATATGCTGAGCTGTCACTGTCTCCAATATATCCTTCATATCTCAAACTATGCTTTTCAATTGACCGTTGAAAAATTGAAACAGCACCAGAAGCTTCCATGGATCCTGATGATTTATTGTGGTTAGCTTCACAAACATGATTTATTTTCCAGTTTTGATAACCTAGTGTTGACTTTTTTTTGTTCCAATAACTACAAGTTTTGCAGAACTTAGTTAACAAAATTGAATCAATACATTTTCTATTCTCTCTTGATATTGCAGTGACAATACCATTTAAAGATTGATGACCTCTCTTTTGCCAGGTACCATCAACAGAAACTTGGCAAGAAGAAACATCATTAACATTGCTTGAATTAGAAATAATATCTTTGGTTTCATTGGCAACACTTGACATACTTGCAGAAGCAACTTCATTATAAATATTTAACAAGTTGTTATTAATTGCACTATAATTTTTAAAATTCATAGGAGATGGCATGTTCATTACTGCAGCAAATTTGCATATAGATTGATAACCTTTACCAATTTCACGAAAAGCAGTAACAACTTGAAAATTAACTGATGCAGTAGGAACACCTGGAGTACTTTTAGATTTTTTAGTTGAAAACTGAGACGTGTGCCATCCTTTGCTAAATGGGCAACAAAGGCACTGTAAAGTTAAGAAAAAACAAAAACCTTTCTTGCTTTTCAAGTCATTTTCCAAACAAACTTCATTTCCACATTTAGGGCATTTAAACTCACTAACCATTAGTTTTAAAATATTAAAGTTAAAATGATATTGTAATTTTTTTGACTTCCAGATATTTCAGTGTTAACTAGTTTTCTAGAGCTTGCTGATAAACTTGGATCAGAAATTGATGAATCAAGCTGAATAAACTTTGAAGTTTTTTGGTGTTGATTACAAGAAAACTTTCTTTTTTTAGTTCGAGCAATAGAACGTCCCATATCTTATTTAGCTATTTATCTATAACTTATAGATAAATAGCTAAATAAGATATGGGACGTTCTATTGCTCGAACTTATAGTATAAGAACATTAACAAACTAAAACAGCATGCAAGCACAATATTTTGATACATGTTCGCATTGTAGTTCAAGTTATAGCTTTTAAAATAAACATGAAGCAAAAAACAAACAAGAAGCTGCAGTAGAAGAGTTTTTGATGTTAATAAGCTTGAGCAAGTTTAATTTTTTTTGTTTTAAAATGCGTTGCTATGGCGTTGCTACGGACTTCTCAATCTACTATGGCAACAAAACACATAATTGTACACACTTCCTTATTTATTTATTAAAAAAATAATTAATAATATTATTCTATGAAAAATTTTGAATTTAAAAAACCAATTTTCAAATAATTGATTTTTTCTAAAAAATTTCGAAATTAATGGGGATGTACCACCTTAAGTAAGCCTTTTTTTTATTAAATTAGAGTTTTGAGCAAGAAATGGTGAAGTCCTTTAGTCTTATTTTTTTTTTGTAAACATTGGAATCTTTTCAATTGTCGACTAAAGATAAAAAAAAAATTTTACCGACTAACTATCTAAAATCAAAAATATGTTCTCGTTAGCCGACATTTTCCGACTGCCAACTATAGATCTAATTTTACCGACTCCAGTATTTAATTTTCTGACTAATAAAAATCGTGGGGGGGGGGGCTAGACACCCTACGCTTCTTCCCACGGGATGGCCTTGATTAGCAGTGTTTCCGAAGCCGATTCTAGAAGATCCAATGTTTCAGTCACCAAATTCTCAACTATTGCATTTTTTTATATTTTTATATTAAGATAATAATATTAAAGACCATACTAATCTGAAGAAATTTAATGAGTTTTAATAAAACACGTAAAAAATATGCGAGGAATTTAGTTGTTTAGTTGTAGATTGAATAATGATAGCAACAAATAGCAACGAATAAAAATCAAAACAAAATGGCAGGCTTTTACTATTAAGGCATGGATTTTTCCAATCAAAAGCAACCAATTAGTGATGAAACATGTTTACGTATTTTTTTTTAAAGCTTATCTCAACTTTTTCTCTCTATTTTGAACTTAGATTCATATTCTGTATTTTCTTTCAAAAGTTACAACTTATTCTAACTCGCTTCTTTTCCTTTCTTAGATATATCTTATTATTAATTTCGTTTATTCTACGTAGACATTTCTGTTTATGTAGAAAGAAGAACGTCTACCTGAGATTCAAAAGAAGTGTTTTTTTTATAGAGATTTTAGAAAACATTTTCGTTATTATAATTTTCATTTAAAATCTATTGACAAAAAAATAAAGTTTTAAAAAGGCGCTGAAGGTTTTTAAAAAATTTTTTGCATGAATGAAATTAGCATTTTTCATTTCATTGTTAAAAAAAAAATGTTTTTTTTTAACAATGAAATGAAAAATGCTTATTTCAAATTTTTTTTTGAGACCTATTTAAGAATACGCTTCTTTTGAGACACAGGTTTGAAAGTTCTTTTGAGACACAGGTTTGAAAGTTCTTTTGAGAAACAGGTTTGAAAATTATTTTTAAAGTACTAGTTTAAGGGAAAAAAAGGTTTGAAAAAAATTTTTGTTGGCCTAAGCCGAAAAAATTTTATATATAAATTAAGTTATAATTTATATATAAATTAAATTATTATTATTAAATTATTAATAATAATTTAATAATAATAATTTAATAATAAATTATTATTATTAAATTATTATTTATATTTATAATTTATATATAAATTATATTATAATTTATATATAAATTATATTATAATTTATATATAAATTATATTATAATTTATATACAAATTATATTATAATTTATATACAAATTATATTATAATTTATATACAAATTATATTATAATTTATATACAAATTATATTATAATTTATATACAAATTATATTATAATTTATATACAAATTATATTATAATTTATATACAAATTATATTATAATTTATATATAAATTATATTATAATTTATATATAAATTATATTATAATTTATATATAAATTATATTATAATTTATATATAAATTATATTATAATTTATATATAAGTTATATTATAATTTATATATAAATTATATTATAATTTATATATAAATTATATTATAATTTATATATAAATTATATTATAATTTATATATAAATTATATTATTATTTATATATAAATTATATTATTATTTATATATAAATTATATTATTATTTATATATAAATTATATTATAAAAGTAGGCCTACTCCAACAGTTTGGTCAAAAGTCGTAAAACAATTACCCTACCGGTCTAATCCAATCATATTTGTGTTAGTATATGATATTTTGTTATTTATATGATTTTTAGATATTTATTCAAGGCATATTGTGCAATCAATCACCTAAAATATTATTTTTTAAGGCAAGAATTAAATCGACGAATAACATTCCTGAGTTTACAAAAAGTTCTCGTGACATAGTAAGTTTTAATTCATATACAATCAATTGAATGTTATATATTTAATCACAATGTGAAAAAAAATAAAGTGTTATAGATAAATAGTTTAAAAAATTATAGACTGATAGATCTTCTCGCCAAATACTAAATTATAAGGTGTTTGATGAACACAAAAAACCTGATAATGGAATCGCCTTATTAAAACTACATTTGGAAAAAAATAACAAATACATTAAAGCGGTTAAAGCTGGTCAACTGCTTTCAAAGTTTTTCAATGATGAAAAAAAAGTATGACTGAATTTTGTAAACAGTTTCTCTTTTTTTTTTTCTTATTGTCTTTAATTAATTTATTTTTTTGCTGTTTTTTTTTTTTATTTTTTGTTTTTTTTTATAGAATAGCAATCGCAATGATAGTTTGTCTCATGCGGAAAGTTCATCAGAGCGCAAAATGCAAAAACTCTTTTGTAGAGAGCTTCAGGAGTATAATTGTCTTTAGCAATTTTATTTGTTCATCCTAAAAAAAAAATTTTAACTTAGAAATCTATAAACTATTTTATAGTTGCTAACAAAATTTTTGAATTTAAAATCTTTTACAAACCATTGTTTCTTTAAAATTCAGTAAAAGTGTTAATATGAGATTGGTGTTCATTGTTGTGTCATACTAAATAGAATGACGCAATATCATGCAATAACCTATTGCATTTGTATCAACCACCATTTAATCACAATTTATAATTGAAAATAGTACTATCAGTGTTATCGGATTAGCAACCAGAAAGATATTGATTGTTTGAATGCATGCTTTAAAAATGGGCAAAACATCATATCTTTATGAAATTAAAAAGGGCTAAAACTGTTACATTCAATAAGAGATATTCATAGCGGCAAATTAGTGTAAAAGTAAGTTGTCGTAAGACAGTTGTACACACTGCAATTGTGAGTTTCAAAACTTCTGAGAGTTTTTGTGACAAGAAGAGATGTGGGTGTCTAAGGAAAACCGGTTTCAGAGATGATCACTTAATAAAGTATATAGCTACTCGTTTTTCGACAAATTTTTATAGAAAGATATGTGCTGCTGTACTTCAGACAGGTACAGATATAAGCTCTATAACAGTTTACCGTCGTCTGAGGCTTGAGCGCGGTCTTAAATCATATAGACCAGCTCTTAAATTCCGGCTAACCGCTGTTATGAAATAGAAATGTATGGCATTTGCCAAAGACATGAAACCTGGACAGCTCAAGACTCGAGCAACGTTATGTTATCAGACGGCAACAGTTTGTAACGCGCAAAAGACACATTAAAAGACCTAAAGGTAGAAGGTTTCAGGATTGTCACACAATTCAAACAATGAAACATCTGATGATTTTAGGCGCTATGTAAAACAATTGGGAATGGTGAGCTCTATTTTTTGCCTCGAAGAATAGCTATGAATGGATCCAAAATGGGGAACTTCTACGGAAAAATAACAATTGCACATGACCATTTATTGATGTTCCGTTTTTATGGATGACGCAGTTCTGTGCCACAGAGTAAAAGTAGAATAAGGTTGTAGACAAACAGCTGTCAAGCACTAAATCATTGAAGAAAGTAATTAAGGAAATTTAAATAAAGCAAATATCTGTCGAATACTGCAATAACCTGGTTCTCAGCTTACCGAGCCGAATCAGTTAAAAGTAAAGGAGTGTATACAATAGTAAAGGAATATTTACAAAGTATTGACATATACAAATATGCAATTATGGTCTTAAACTTTTGTTAATGACCGTAAACTTGTTTTCTAGGTACAATACAGTAGTTGGTTTCACTTTTGATTAACATGTTAAAAAAATACAAAACTAATTTGCAGCAAATCACTAATTTCTTATAATAGGTTGAAACAATAAATTGTAATAAAATAAACTTTTTTACCTGTCCTACCTGTTTTTATTTTTACTAAGAATCTTTAACGTAGAAGATAAAAAAAAAAATTATTAACACATTATAAAAAGCTCAAAACAAAGTACTTGTTTATAAAAAAGTTTTAAAACTATTGATGACAAAGTTTTTGCCACTTGTCTAATTTTCTCAAGGCACAGATTATGAAATAATTAAATTACAGGCCAACATTGATAAAATAATTAGCTTTAATAATTGGATTTAGAAACATGACTTTATTCAAATCATTTGAATAAAGTTATTTAAACCTACATACATTTGAATCAAATGTATGTAGGTCTAAATTACACAAAAATCTGAAGTTACATTCCTGATGTTTATTGGTAGTTTCTGATGTTAACTTTCTTGTTTATTCTTTCAAAATTTTAGTTAGACCCAAGTTTGCCAAATAATGTTTCATAGTTTATATTTTTCAATAGTGGAACGAATTGCTCTGCGTAATATTTTTTTCAGTCGCTCACTATTTTCTCAATGATGGAACTCCAGACAGAAGTAAAATACATATAGGCGGACGCACATCGGTATACCGATGTGCGTACACCTATAGGTATTTTATTTCTGTCAACAACAGGCTTGAAGCAGTTATTGTAAATTTGCAGATGACACTCAATTAGCAGTACAAATTAAGAATTCATTAGATCTGATCATATAAAAGGTTAAGGTAAAAGCTTGAGTATGAAGTTTAATTTTAAAGTTTAAAATCATAAAGAATAAAAAAGTTTTTGTTAGTTTAATTGTTTTATTGTGTTCCTTTACTACGCCTATTGCCAGAGGCACTATTAACCGATCTTTAAAATAATACTTAAAGAACGCCAATCGTACGCTTCAATTATAAAGTTAATTAAATCATTTAAATTTAAAATCTATCCAGACACTCGATACTCTAAAGAGGACTTTTGAAAATTTAAGTTTAATTTTTTTAAATTTAAATCAAATTTTACGAATTTTATAGTAAATGTAAATAGTATATTTATCTACTATAGTAGTAAATGTTTTTAAAAATAAATAGATAAAGTGTTAAGATATAAGCTACAAAGTTAGCAGGCAAGCATAAAGAAGTAGACAGAACTGCCAAAAGGTTTCCCACAACACTAAGTTGCAAAAGTACTTAAGAACTATTTTTTACAGCTACTTAAATAGCTACTTAAAGTACTTCAGAATTTTTTGTTTACGTGATTTAAAGTAATGTGCATTTCATTTTTCTTATTTATTTTGGTAACGCTTTTAAAAATCTATTTTAGGAAAATGGGGAATGGGGCAAGATGTCTTTTTCTATAATAACTCTACAAAAAAATTTAAAAATAGGAGTAGACAAAATTATATATAGTTTGCATTTTAATTATCAATTGGTTTTTTTAAATATTACTAATGTTTTTTTATATACTACTTTTTTTTTCCTTTTTTTTTTTTGCGCCTAAAGATAATATTATAAACTAATATTTACTTGCAAATTGAAAACTAATGTTGACAATAAGTTATTATGATAAAGCAATTTTGCCCCATCTTTCCCTAATCACAAAATTTTATTAAAAACTTGTGAATACATAAATATTCTGCAGTTATTTGCAACCAAGTGTTAATCGAGTGGAAATTCCGTCTACAAGCTGGAGAAAACAAAATGAGTTTTTAGAGAAATTAAAGTGTTTTGAAATTCTGTTCAATTCTGTTCAAAATATGAACTCTAAAGACCTTAAAAACAAGGTAAGTAAATCTCACAATATTAATATTTTATATATATATATATATATATATATATATATATATATATATATATATATATATATATATATATATATATATATATATATATATATATAAGCGGAAGTTCGTGTACCTAGAGCCAGATTTACCAATGTTCTAGTCCTAGGCCCCGGACTTTACTAAAAGTTGTGTGAACTGATATAATTATATCTCTATACTAATTACTTTGTATTATTATAAGTCCATCATGTAGAAGGGTTTAAAGGTTAATGGTTCTAGGTACAATAGCTTTTAATAATTGTACCACGGGTTGCCAGCTAATGTACTAAGGGAACCTCTCTGAAAATTAGGTTTAAATCCATAATAAATAAACAACAAAGGTAGAAATGTAAAAAAAATATTTTTAATCTTAGTTTGTTTCCAACAAATTTATCTAGTGTTACTTAGAATTTCCAATATTTTTAATGTTGATAGTTCTGAACAAAATTGATAAAAAAAAGTCTACGCGTAAAATGGTGATCCCAAAACAATTAGATAAGTGTTTTAAATTCATATCAAAACCCACCATTGAGCAATAACACAGATATATATATAATGGTTAATAATTAGATAAATATCATGTAATAAATTTCTTTCAATAGACTACTTTATCCAGCGATACTTTAAAAAAACTGCGACAAGAACCTATTGAGTTCACCGAAGAAGGACAATCCATGTCTTCAACTTTGGAATTGAACAATAAGGAACATAAAAGTCGCTCATTTCAAGTGGCTCGAAAACCTATAACAGTTATCGGTTACAATGAAAGTACTTCATCAAAAAGTATCAAGTCAGTCAAATACTTGATTTATTTTGTTATTATTCTTTGTTACTATTTGGTTTTAAAAGAATTATTATTGATTAAATAATCGTCATTATAAGTTCAAATTTAATGTCATTTAAAAAATGATATGTGAAATGCGTAAAATGCTGTTTAAATCCGGATATCAAAATGTGTAAACGTAATAAACAACGTAATAAATGTAAAAGGCTTAAAAAATATTAAATATTAAAAATGCTAAAATAAATTAATCGTCAACTTCTATTAAAAACAAAGTTTTAATCCCAATACATGATAGTAGATATATTTTTTTTAAATTATTTTTTACGGATTTATTAAACGGGTGTGCCAAATTACAAATCCGCCTTTTTTATTTATAAAATTTTCAAATGCCTAATGATACTGCAAAGATTTTAATTTCATTTTTATTTAATCATTTTCAGAATTTTGAAATTACTTTTAATTCTGGATGCTTTGTAGGGTTAGCTGTTTTAGGCACAACGACATCATTATGTTCTTACCACTCCATAGAAAGTTTACCATAATGACTTGAAGCCAAAGCACAGGTTCATTATGCAATTTAATGCAAGATGAAAGAGGCTAAACTGTTCTGCAATTGAAAAAAAGTTTTTCAATTGCAGAACAGTTTAGCCTCTTTTTTTAATTAAAGTTTAGAAAAAACACGATAATAAAATTCCTAAAGCTAGTAAAATTCCAAAAATTACTAAAGCTAGGTCTGGTTAATTATCAACCATTATTGTTATAATATTTAAATAATTTGAATTTAAGTTTTTACAAAAAAACTGTTTTTCGCTCGGTAAGTTGTTATATATGCTTTCCAAACATGTTGTTTTTTACTTCAAACCGCATAAAAAAATTCTGTGTTGTTATGTTGTTTGACTGATTGTGTATACGGATTTCTTTTAATTCCAAACCAGTAGGAGAAGTAACCCATGATATAGTTGTATGCTATAGCATTATGAATATTAGTTTAGGGAAACTATTCGAAGTATACATTGAAAATTTTTTTTATAAAAATCATCAGCTTATTTTCGGAAGACTATCTTGGATCATTCAAAATACTTTCATCGGCAGCTGCAACCTTTTTCCATTTTTCAGGTAGCATAACAATTCTACTCTGGAAAGAGTCTTGGTCTTCTGAAACAATCCAGTCATCAACCCATTGTTTGATCAACCAGAACATATGGTAATCGGATGAAGCAATGTCTGGTGAATACGGCCGGTGGGGTAAGACTTCCATTTGAGGTTCTCCACGTAGGTATTTGCAACATTTCCAACAAGGGGTCGTGCATTGTCATGTTGAAGAATAACTTTATCTTTTGTCTTATTGTGGCCTTTTATCCTTCAATTCTTGGCTCATCTTGATCAATTGTCGTCGGTAACGGTCTGCTGTAATTGTCTCGTACTGTTTAAGCAGCTCATAATATATTACTCCGAGCTAGTCGCACCAGATACAGAGCATGAGCTTAAAACCATGAGTGTTTTGGCTTTGCTTTCAATGTTGATGGCTCACCAGGCTTTAGTCGTGTTTTTCTGCTTTTTGTAGTTATCGTAACGTAAGGCATGCTATCGGAAAAATCTGCCCACCTTTCTTGATCAAAAAAGGATGTAAGAAAGTTTAAATGTATTTAAATCAATATATTTCTGAAAAATTAAGACTGTAAAGATTACATATAAATAGGAAAAAACAAAAAAAAATTAAGTTTTACAGAAAATTCTGACTCTCTTTTTGATGCCTCCCATAAGTTTCTGGACAGAGTGATTTTTGTAAGTTTAAGCAGCATAATCCCATTTTTTCTTCAAATCTGTAGCTGATTTTACTGTTTTTCCACTTAATTTCAATTTCTTTTTTATGATGGCCCAATATTTTTCAATAGGACGTAATTCGGGGCAGTTTGGAGGATTCATCTTTTTTGAAACCAACATCACTCCATTATCATCGTAAAACTTTTGAGCATCTTTTGAGTAATGTATTGTGGCTAAATCAGGCCAAAACAATACTGGAGTACTTCTATGAGCTTTAATTAGTCGTTTTATACAAGAAAGACAACATTTCACGTATTCCGAAGATTTCATTGTGCCCAAACAAATATGAATTGGCGATTTTTTGCCGCAGGAGCAAAGCGCCTGCCAAATCATTAATTTTTTCGAAAACTTATCACTCATTACGTACTTGTATTCATCACTCACATTTCCTCTTATTTTAGAAGCAAGCTTCTGGGCAGTGCTACTATGCATAGTAGCACTGCCCAGAAATTTGTTTAAAATCCATTTTAACATGAGTTTCGTCATCCATCAAAATGCATCCATAATGTTTTGTTAACAAGTTGTCATACAACTTTCGAGCTCGACTCTTTGCGGTTGAATTTTGTTTATCGTTATGACTGGGCATTTTAACTACTTTAAAACTTTGATATCCAAGTCTCTGTCGCCAGATCAAAGTTTTATTTAAAAAATCAACATTGAGCTGGGTATCAGGTTTTATTACCACGTAACTACATACCAAAAAAGAAAAAACTGGTTATTAAAATAAACAAAGCATGACAAAGTGGTAAGAGCGCAAGTATTGCTTCAGACACTCATTCTTGATCAGCGAGAATAAAAAACGGAAATCTGTCTTAATAAATACTATTTTCATTTCGGAACTTTTTGATAAGATAATTAAAACTTTTAGAGTTTCCCTAAATATATATAAAAAAGTCACATTTTACTAACAAAAAGATGTGTGAACATGAAAAGTTTTAACTTGTTTTAACAATTGTATGAAACGTTTTATTTCATAGCGGTTCAAAAAGTGGAAATGACATCATTCCTCCTTGGTTTAAAAACTATATTAATGATGGTAAAATTACTTTTTATTGATAATTAGAAGTTAGTTATGAAATTTAGATTTACATACTTTATTATGAAATATATATATATATATTTTTGTTTCTTTAGAGGATAAATGTTTTCAGCATTTCGGGTTTGTTTTATTTTCTTCTATTTTAATGGTTTATTTTTGTAACGTTTAATGTACACACACTTAGCAGTACAATCTTGTAATTCATTTTGTGATATGTTCTTATTGTTTGTTTCTACTTAATAAAAACTTGTTTATCAATTATTTTAATATTTTAGAAATAACTTAAATTCAAAATTTCACAAAGATTTTCTTCATCACTTGAAAAATTCTTTTCAAACTTCACAAAATAAACTGAATGAGAAAATGAAAAATGAACTGGATTCACACGTAGAGTATATTATATATATATATTTTTTAAAGCAATTATATAGAGTTTTTATCAGGGATGGCGTGAGTAGGTGTCTTGTGTGTGTGGGGGGGGGGGGGACAGCCATTACAACTATTGCCCACTAAAAAAAAATGATCCTCGTTTTTTAAAATTTGCTGACTGCCTTATTGACATTTGTGGACATACTGTCTTAATTTACCGACTAACTTTTCTTAAAGTGAAGGGTCTACATTTGTCGACTTACTTGTCGAAAAGGGTCGATTTACTTGTCGAAGGGGTCGAACTTGTCGACTTACTTGTCGAAAAATTTGCCGACTAAATGAACGAAAACATCCATGATGGGGGGGGGGGTGTCACATCCCCATCGCGCCGGCCTTGGTTCTTATTATGCGTTATACATTATATTAGATAGTCATATGTTGAACCAATCTTACTTTATAAAGTTATCCTTTTTTTAAAACGTCTTTTTTACCTTACACTCTAAAAAAATGGCAGAAATTTCCAAACCTTAAAAGTCAAGTTTAACATACAAAATCGTTTTTACCCCATATAGTCAAGTTCACCCTACAAAATCAAATTTATTTTATAAAATCAAGTTTACCCCTCAAATCGAACTTACCACACAAAAAAAAAACCTACTCTTATTATTGTTATTTTTAAAAGATTTGTTTTTTGATTTGCATTTGGAAAATGAAGCCACGATATTAATATTAAAATTTATAAACATCACTTTGTGCAACAAAGTTTTTAAATCAATATTTTTATTGATTTAAAATCTTTTTTATAATATTTTTTTTGAATGCATTCAATAGAATAAAACAGGGTAAAATGAAATAGCGGGTAGAATGAAATAGTTATGACAATGTATTATTCTTTCACTCTTAATTAACTATTAAATAATTTTTTTGCATATATATTTTGATTATATTGTAGAGAATATTTTTCTGAGTAAGATTGTATACAATTTTATTTTTAATAAAAAAAATTTTGTTATAAATTTATAAATTTTCGAATGCGTAATAAGATTTTTTTTTATTTGTTTGAAAAGGGATCTTAAAACTCCTGGAAGTTAAATTCGGTATCATTGAAATTAAAATGTTTACTGGTACAACTTTTTATGCTGATCAAGAATCTTTTTTCAAAATTAATTTTGCTATTTAGGAAAAAAAGTTATGAGTTAAAAATGGGAACGGAGTGTTGTGGGGTTGAATGAAATACGCTAATAAATAAATACGAAGCTTATTAAAATAAATTTAGCTTATTTCTTAAAAGCGGTATTTTTTATTAGGTCTCAAGTGACCAATAAATCTCCAACTTAATTTTTTGTATAAATTTCAATGAACGAATTTTTCTAACTGAATTTAAATGACTTACTGCTTTTATAAAATGGTTCTAATAAATGAATATGTCAAACATACATACCAAAGCGATACGCAAGAGACGCTGAGTTTGATTGCACCAAAAGGTGCCGCACAAGTGAAAACTCAACTTAACCTCTAGTACCTCTAAACAACTCAACATCATCACAAGAATAAAAAAGTTTGATTTTTTTTAATTGTTATTATTGATTGTTTTTTAATTGTTATTATTGGTTACTTTTTGTTTTTTTAATAAGTGTTGTTTTAATTACACTTTTATTGGCGTATTTCATTCTCCCCTAATGTCAGTGTAGAATGGAATAAATTTTTTTATTCAAATAAAGTTTTATAAAAAACTTAACAAAAAAAAATGTTAGATTTTTATATATTTAAATACATTTAAATATACTCTCTACAACTTTAAAAAAAAAAAAAAGGAAAAATCTTTTTTCCGTAAAAAATTAATAATTAAAATCCTTAACTATTCCATTTGACCCCATTTTACTCTATTTGCCTTTTTTTTTTTTTTTTTTTTTCAGTGCGTACTCTCAATGTATCAAGTTTTTAAAGTTAAGAGACGTCAGAGAAAAAGACCTGCGTATTATGCGTAAGCAAGTAAAAGATTGGAGATATAAAATTGCTTCTGCTATAAAAGTGCCTGAGAAATGGTATTATTGCGTTTTATTATAAAGAAAAAAATAACTATATTTAAAAAAAAAAATGCGGATACTGTTAACGCATGCAATATCACCAAGCCATAGTCTGGGCAATAATCCATAAGTCACAAGAGATCATTAATTCCTTTTACAAAAATTTTTAATGATGACTAATTTAGCTATTTTTATATTTTATGAGCACATATAAATCAAAAATTAAGTTAAAGCGTTTTCTTTTAAACTTTTATTTAATTTAGTACTGTGTTATCTGTAAAAGTGTATGATGCGATTAATCTAACCCATTAGCCAATCTATAATAGTTGTCGTTATAAATAGTTTTTAACAGCATGTGTCCATATACTTGTACATTTCCACTGCATAAACAGATGCAGGTCCAAGGTTTTTGGTATTTGAGTTAATAAACTTTCAGGTAAGTTCTAAGCTCCAAATTTTTTTCATGTTTATACTTATAAAACAATGTTTTTCCAAAAGTTGCGCTGATTATTGCTTGGGAACAAAATACAACCAAAAAATACATTTTTGCAACCAAAAGTAATATGTCGTTTAAAAGTTAGTTTGTAGCATTTTAACATTAAAATGAATCTAAAAATGTTGGGAGAGCACATTATATGTTGTTGTTAAAAAAATTAAAAAAAAATCTTCAGAAAGATAATTATTATTTGCTAAAAGGTCAAAATTTGTGTCTAAAACACAAAAAAATATAATCTTTTTTGAAAATACTTATTAAAATAAACTATATAATTAAATATAAATTAGAGTAAAATTTAAAAAAATATATTTTTTAAATTTTACTCTAATTTATATATTTTATAGGAGAGAGCTGAAAAATATCCTGAGGTTACGTCCAACAGCTCATCATCACTCTTTTTAGATTTTTGTGTTTTAGAAACATGCTCGTTTTAATGTTACATAATCTTTTGATTTTTTGTGGTAGAAGTTAAGTAGAAGTAAATTTCAAAAGTCTATATTAAATTAAGATACTTAGGATAGACTATGGTACTTTGGACATTAACAAGTTACCTCTAAATGAATTATGCCACACAGTGCAACGTATATATACACAAAATGTTACAAATAATACAACAAATAAAAAATGAAAAAAAAAATTTAAACGAAAAAAAAAATGGTATAATGTTTACATAGTAATTCTTGAATAAATTAAAATAAATATAAAGAGTGCTAATACTTAGAAGTAGAGATATAATCAAAACAGTAAAGACCAAAAGATTAAGACCATGATATTATGACTCAATACCAATATCAATATCAAGATATCAATACCAATATCATGATATCAATACCAATATAAAGATATCAATACCAATATCAAGATATCAATACCAATATCAAGATATTAATACCAATATCAAGGTATCAATACCAATATCAAGATATCAATACCAATATCAAGATATCAATACCAATATCAAGATATCAAAAAGTTAACCCAAGATCAAGACTTTAAAAATTTTCACAGGTTGTACACTATTAAGCTTTTAGGTGATCTATCATTTTACCATTTGTACACATTATTCTATATTAAAACGTAATTATTCATGTATAATGCAATTATATTATCGCAAATTGTATAGTGCACTGCCACAATCTACTAAAGATATCTTTAATAATAACAGAAAACTAACAAGTTTCTTGTATTGTTAAAAATAAAATGTACCAATAAAAAATGATGCAAGATCATCACACTGAGAAATTAACAATAACACATAAAAAAGTCTAACCCTAAAAGTCTAACCCTGAAAAAAGTAAAAATGCTATGCTTTTCTTTTTAACTATGGCAGTCACGTATCTAAGTTATAAATTAAAATTCAAAGTAAATTTTACATATTTTATTTAAGTACTTTATTTAAGAAATAAAACAGGCATCAATGTATCACTTAATTTCATAACTTAAATATCCTAGTAGTTACAATTTATTACTAATTGCTCCGTCTAGTGTGTTAAAGGTATTTGTAAGGATTAAGAAAGTGCAACACAGTAAAGGTCAGAAACCAAGACAAAGACCTAGACTTCAGGCATTCAAGACTAAGACCAAGATTCCAAGCTTCAAAACTAAGTCCAAGACCATGACAGTTAAATATTAGTCTCCAGATGTCTCGAGAGCAAGACTTAAGCCTCGAGACCTACATCTCTGCCTCGAAGTAAAAGTAACTATGGTAACTATGATTACATAAAAATCTATTGTATCTTTGTTTAAATTTGATAGTAAAATATGCACAAATATGCATTTTCATGTATAAAAGCTTTATTTGATGTACTTTTTTACTTAGAGTATGCCATTATAATTACGGTTTAAGGCATACTATGACAAAATTTTATACATGAAAATGCTTATTGCATCATTAATTGTTTTGTATAAAGAGAATAAAAATAAATTTCACAGATTATGGTGTGTTGACAAAAATATACAGCCTAGTGGTTATAAATCAGTTGACATTTAGTTAGTTGTCTGTAAAAGTACTTTAGATATTACTAAATGCTTCTTTTTTGAAGGCTTTTTGAATGAGAAACAAAAATGGATGACAGATACCTAAAAACAAAAACAAAAAACAACAGATAATTCTATTGCAGAAATTTTCATATCACAAGTTGAAAGTGTTTACAAACGTGCATTCTTACCAACAGCTTAAAAAGACATAAATAAGGTTACGTTCTTAAAGACTACGAAAAGTGTCGATAATGATCTGTGCACTAACCAGTGCCGGATTAGGGGGGGGGGGCTATAGCCCCAGGCCCCGCAAATTTAGGGGCCCCAAAAAATTTTAGAGGACCTTTTTTTTTTTTAAGTAATTTTTAGGCTCTGGCCCATAAAAAGGCCTCCAAAAACAAAAATAGCCCCGGGCCCCAAGAAGTCTTAATCCGCCACTGGCACTAGCTGATTAGAGGTATAAGATTACAAAGAGTCCAAATTCGAGTTTGATCTTTTTAAAAAATAAAAAAGTTTTGCAATGAAATTTCAGGTTTTAAAGTTATGAATGATGAGCATATAACATCTGGAGGGTTACAGCGCTGATTTCTGATTATTTAAAAAGGATTTCTAGCGTGTGAAAATAGAACCATGTTGCCACAGCCACAGTAGGTCGCTAATCACCGCATGCTCTATCTGTAGGTTTTATAATTGCACAATGAAACCATTAACTGTTCTAAACATTTTCATGGCAAATATTGTGAATGTTTACGTGTCTATATACGACTTACTGCATGTATCATAAACGTGCCATTATTGGTTTACAAATTTTGTTATTTTTTATGCAAACATCTGAGTTAATGAAGCTGCTAAAAATATTGTACAATTGTACATTTAAGGAAAAAGCTTCTTGTACTCATTCAGATAAAATTTTACTCATGTTAAAATTGTCATAAAAGCAAGTGTAATTACAAAGTTGAAATTTATGTATGTCTTTTCCTGGTGCTTAAAATGGGTTTTAACGGATACTATAATCTTCTTTTAGGAACATTTCAAATAGCGAACTGTTGGCTGCAGTAGCAGAACTTTTTTTTGTACCAAAATTTAAGTTATACACACAAATTGTGGAAGGAACTTTGAAAGTGTTTAAAAAAGGCTCCTTAGAAGGTAATTGCTACAAAGCGACATAAGTAGACTAGAAAAACCTTATAGAAAAACTGAGCCAGCAATCCAAAACTGCAATCAAAAAAGGTTTTTTTCACAAACAGTCAAGCATTTTTGCGTATTTTATAATAACCACTAACATTTTAAACTATTTAAAAAAAAAAGTAAAAGCTTATTGTTTCATATAACCCGAAAAAGTATTCTGAATAAAAATAAAGTTATAAAATTCTTAACTCTTTTGCACATTTTTTTATATAAAAAAACTAAAATTCTTATTGAAGCTTTTATATTTTTAAATATTCTGATAAGTTTAGTGTCATTAAATAGTAGCAAAAAACGCTGAATGTATCTTCTGTTATAAAAAATTTTCCAGACAGATCAGAAAGATTAACGAGGGGAAATTTGAACCGAATGTTTCAGGTGTTATTAGGCTCACCTTGACTGTACCGGAGCAAAGAAAGAAGATTACATATGTGATTTTTGTAAAAGATTTAGAAGATAACATTTGTGATTTTTTTTAAAAAAATTGAAGCAGAAATGACTATTTCTTTTGGTTTCAATTTTTTATTTCAATGGTTATTCCACTTATTCCAAATTATCCGACTATTTCTTAATTACCCCCATTTTTACTTTTTTTTTCAAATAAATTTTTTTAATAACAATAAATTAAATGGCTATATTTTTTACAACTGACAGTTTTTACTACTGACAGTCTATAACAGTTCATTATACTATGTACTCATGATGATTTCATAATTTTTATTTAAAAATCAGTCAAGTTATTTTTATAGTTAAATGTAAATAGTACTCTATACAAACATATATGAATATTTTATATTCATATATATTTAGGTTTGACATTTTACGGGAGCAGCAAACTACGTTACAATTACAAGACAATGAAATTGCTAACGAAATCATTCAACGACTCGCAAAACATAAACACTGGAAACTTCCTGAACTTTCTCAGGTTTTTATTTAGTTGCTAAGTGATCTCTTAATACTCGTTTGAGGTCATTACATAAACAATAAGCAATTTTTTTCAGCTACTTTAAAAAAAGTTGTTTTTTTTTAATTTACGATTTAACATTAACTTTTACCATTATTGTAATTTAGTCAAAGTTTTGTCTGCTTATTTTTTCACTGCCAGCGTATGAATTATGTACGTACCCCATGAAAGAAGCAGCACAGGTCAGAAATTTTATCAATAAAGGTTAATTTTTTTTTAACTTTTGGAGTAATGTTTTCATAGATTTTACTGTTTTAATAAATCCGTTTCCTGCTTTGCTTTATAGTACTATTCAACTGCTGTATTAAATCTTCCTGGTCATATTTTAAATGAATGGCTTCGAGCTAGAAAATTGGTTTAATAAATGAATGAGACAACCAACTAATGGGCTTATTTTTAACATACGTTAATTTAACTTTTTTTTCTACTAATTTTTTATGTAGAATACTTGAAATATTTTAATTTTGAAATAAAAAAATTTAATTGAAGCTTTTATATTATTAAACACTCTGATAAGTTTAGTATTTCAATATACAGGTAAGTACCTGACAAGAAAGTATGGTGTGATTAAATAATGACACATATGTGTCATTAAATGATAGCCACAATCAATTTATGAGATGGCTTTCTTATATGGCTTTCTATACATGACCTTAATACATTAGTTCTATATTTTTATTGCTAACTATATTTTTAAATAGTTCAAATTTAGCAAAAAAATTTCTTTACTTTTTGCCGTTTACTAATTAATAACCTCTTTAAATAAACAAAAAATTGTAAATATTCAATCAAATGTTTTTACATATAATTTGACATTTTATATATAATTTTCAGTAATTTTTAGGCCAATTTAATAGATATTGAAAAATGCCCGTCCCCTTTAAGGATGGGAATGCGAAGTGTTTTCATTAAATTAAGCCAAGCTATCAAACCCATTAATCAAACTTATCAAACAATCAAACGTTGCAGAAAATTAATTCTAAAATGTTTATTAAACTTTAATTTTTATTCTCAACTTTTTTTGACGCAAATGCAGTGATCATTGCTTGTCATCCATCAGCCGCTGTTTTCAGATTTCATAAAACATTTATTTTAATACGTTTTATCTCAACTGTTCAATTGTATTTTTGTAATATTAGTTCCCACTATTTCCGCAAAATTTTTGATTTTTTAAGTTGAAACATCTATTATAGTATGTAAACTTATCCTTATAAAATTCTTTATATTAAAATACAATATTTCTAGGGGTTATATATACCCTCGTTATTCAAATCATAATTTCCTTATTTTACTTAAGGCTAACTTAGCGCATTTATTTTCATCGATTTTCGCAATGACGCAAAATTTTCAGAAGGCTCCTACGCTTTATTCTTCCATCAATATATTCAATGCCACCGAGAGGAGGGGTCGCGTGGGACAGTTTGTCCCGGGCAGCAGATATCCAAGGGGCGCCAAATGAAATGTAGATACCTAAAAAAAAAAGTTTCTTCATATATAATATAGGGAAAATTTGATAAATATGGGCGCCAATCAGGATTACTGTCCAATAATTAGAAAATCTAACAATTTCTTACCTTTCTATTGTTACTTTTTTAATTTAAAGTAAAATAAAAAGTTAATTTTGCTTAAATAGTCCACAACATTCCCATGTATAAACTCAAAAACATAATCCCACGTATAAACTCAAAAACATAATCCCACGTATAAACTCAAAAACATAATCAATCTGTATTTAATATTATACAACATGATTAGTTAAAATACAGTTAAAAAATTTAATCAAAAATTTTTTGTACAAACTGAACATTTTGCTCTATACTCTGCAATTGAAAAAATAAAATCTTGCTTCAACGCTTTATTAACCCACTCTTTCGAGTAGCCTTGAGGTTTTAGCGCTCTTTCGACACGATGATTTACTACATGTAGTTATAAACCCAGCCCTTAAATCTTCCATAAAAGCTACACTTTCCCTATTTCTCACAAAAAATTTGTACCACTCAAGGTCGTTTTTCATAAAACCAAAATTCATAAAAAACAAGCAACTTATGACAGATTAGAAGTAATTGGATCCTTGTATTGCTCTTGAAAATATATTTTGTTTTATTAATATTTTGTTTAGAGTCAGAGTTAAACAGTTTTTTAGTAACACCTTTACATCGGACAATAGCTCCTCGTTAGCTATGGAGAATATAACCGTATATATATATATATATATATATATATATATATATATATATATATATATATATATATATATATATATATATATTATATATATATATATATATATATATATATATATATATATATATATATATAGTATTGGACAAAAAATTTGCTACCAACATCGAACAATGCTAAAAAGTGTTCCTAATTTTACATGTCTTAAAAACGAAACGAGCTATACTACCACAGCAAACAGTTCAGGAGTCTGGAGTCATAGCATGCCATGACATGAGCAATCAGCTGGCAGGTGACAGCACACAGGCAGAATTTTGTTGACAAGTGCCATTTTGCAGCGGACAAAACAAATGCAACTTTTTTGGTTTGTTTCATTTTCTTAAGTCTGGTCCGTGTCAATGTCACAGAAGTTTTTTAATAATTAAAGGAAGTATCCAGAAGTTTCCAGAAGCATCCAGACGCATCCAGAAGCTTCCAGAAGCATCGAAAAGAAGCATCTAGAATCTTCCAAAAAGACATGTAAACCGACTTGTAATTCAGTCAGTATATGGAAGTAAATCAGTCAGTATTATCAAGATAGTTTATCGAAGTGAGTTTTATCAAAGTGTTTTATTGAAGAACATCAATACAAGAAGTGAAATACAACAAGTGTTTCATTACATCAATACATTCCACATCCAACCAAGTTGTTGTGTTCCACAGAGCATTATTGTATCATCACAAGGTAACACGGTAAGCCTTGAGAAGCGTGATTATTTACTTTTATTGTTTTTATGACTTCAAGTGCAAAAATGGCTGCCGACAGTCTTGGATTGGAACTAAGATAGAAAATTATTGGTGATTACGTAAGTGGAATGTCACAAAAAAGTATTTGTGATAAATATCGCGTGAAAAAATGGACCGTATCAAGACTATGTTCCTAATATCGTTCTACAGGGAAGTTGGCAGCAGATAACAAAGGTAGAAGAACGCAATCCACCACTTCTAGAGGGGATCCTATGATTGTCAGATCCGTCAAGAAGGATCCCTGGATATCATCAGTTGAGATACAAAAGCAATTAGAGCTGCTTGTACCGGACCGAACAATCAGACAACGTGTTGTTCAAGCCGGATTGCTTTTTCAACGCCCTGCAAAAAAACTGCTGATTTCCCTAAAGAACCAGAAGAAAAAACTCCTGTTTGCTACATCTCATATTGACTAGAATGTGCAGAAATGGCGAGCTGTCCTGTTCAGTGATGAATCGAAGTTCAACATCATTGGGAGCGATGGCATTTGCCGTGTACGTCAACCGCCTCGATTTACGTTACTGCCATAAGACCGTGAAGCATGGTGGAGACAATGTAATGGTCTGGGTGTTTTTTTGCTAACGGTCTAGGTCCAATACATCGAATCAATGGAATAATGGACCGTTTCATGCATAAAAATATCCTGAAAGATGTTATGTTACCTCATGATGAATGGAATATGCCAATAAAATGGGTTTTTTAGCAAGACAACGATCCGAAACACACTGCAAAAGTAGTCAAGCATTAGTTTCAAGACAACCATCTATCGGTGATGGATTGGCCGTCTCAATCTCTGGATCTCAACCCTATCGAGAACCTGTGGGAGATTGTCAACCGCAGAATTAATCGTGAAGGTGTTCGTAATAAGAATCAACTATTGGAACAAATCCAAAAGACTTGGGAAGCGATTCCACAAAGTTTCATTGATCACCTGATCGAATCTATGCCTCGAAGATGCAAGGCTGTGATCGATAACAAAAGATTCGCCACGAAATATTGATAGCGAAATACAGCTTGGTCAACATTTTGCGGAGTTTTACTTGTTTTGTCCAGAAGGAAGTCAACTTTTTTTTAATACTTTTGATTAATTTATTAATTTTCGTGTACAAATAATGAACTTTGTGATGCATAAAACTTGAAGAACGTTGTCCCTAAACAGTTACATAGTTATTTCTCTAAATTGAAAAAATGCAACACTTTTATTTAAAGAAACTAATTTAGCATTATTGTTTTGTCCGATACTATATATATATATATATATATATATATATATATATATATATATATATATATATATATATATATATATATATATATATATATATATATATATATATATATATATATATATATATATATATATATATACAGTCATGTGCATGAAAATAGCAGTGGGAGAAAATTATTTATAAAATACATTTAATTTTTTTACTGATGGTTAATTTTGTATATTTTATTATCTAAATATTTTCTGTTAGGGTTTTTAAATATAAAGAGGTCGGCAATATTGCTGTTTATACATACATGTATCAGAATTTAAATTAAATTATAAAATTTTGCTTTATTAACTGTGCGTTATAATAGCAGTGAATATACACTTTATTTTCTATTAATGCCTTAAAAGTTGTTTTTACCATCATTTTTTTTTATACATTAAAATGTTCATTAAAATTTTTTTTATACATTAAAATGTTTATTAAAATTAAACGATATTTTATTAAGTTTCACAATTTTATTACAGTTAAAATGGGTAGAGCAAAACATTGTTCCAATGAGAAGCGTCAAATAATTTTAAATATGTTAAAAGATGGTAAAACTTAAAAATTCATCCAAGATGCTTTACAATGTTCTGCAAAAATGATTTCCAATGCCAAAAAATGGACACAAAAAGCGGAATTGCGTGGGGGAAAATTTAAAACGTCATTGAAAACGAACCGTAAAATTATTAGATGTGCGAAGATAAATCCTTTTATGAGTTCCACAGCCATAAAAACGGAATTAAATTTACCAATATCGTCCTCGACAGTGAGAAGACGTTTGATAAAAGCCAATTTAAAAGCCAGAAGGCCCAGAAAAACTCCACTTCTAAATAAGAGACAGATTAAAAATCGAATCGCATTTGCTAAAGAGCATCAAGAATGGCCATCATCGAAATGGCGTAATATTCTTTGGAGTGATGAGACTAAAGTTGTTTTATTTAATCCAGGTATTCACGAAAAGTTTGTACGAAGACCCCCACGAACAGAATATAATATAAAGTATACCACCAAGACAATAAAACATGGTGGCTGCCAGGTGATGGCATGGGGTTGTTTTTCTTGGTTTGGATTGGGCCCTATTTTTTGGATCAAAGACATCATGGATGCAACTGCTTATGTTAAAATACTGCAAGAAGTCATGTTACCATATGCTAAAGAAGAAATGCCTT